TTACAGAGAACTAATACAACCTAAACCTCAAATCCCTGATCTCCTTAGCTAAGTAGCGACACAAAGAGTCAGATGCAAAGAAAACCACCGACACATAGTCTGTCCAAATATCTGTTGTGTGAAAACTGTAATTACTTATAGGTCTGGACAACTTTAAAATTAGAAATTAAGGCCATCAAGCTCTTGGCTATATATGTACAAAAGAATCTATTAGAAGGACAATTTGTTGAGCAGAGATGTTGTTCCATTCTAAGGATTTTCAAAAGAAAGATTCTGTGAAGGAAGATTCTTCACTTCACTTCACTTCCTGATGTCTCCAATTTTCTCCTACTAATCTCTTTGCTATTCTACCAAACTCTATCTTTGAATAGATTGGCAATGAGTGATAGAATGCCTATTTCCAGTTTGCCTGATTCAGCAAGCTTCCTTATTCTTTACTTTCCTATGTTCTATCCTCTCCATCATTTATTTCTATAGGATTATAACTCCTCATAACCACCTGCTAAGTTTTAAGCGAAGCAATAACTATACATAAACATTTGGTGTTTTAGTAAAGAAAATATTAACCAGATTGATTTATGCACACATCCTACTTAAAACAAACAAACAAGAATGTAATACAGATGTATAAAAAAAGTAGCATGGCCAATTGCTGGCAGAATGTAGTGTGTGATATGTATGAGTCACCATTCATTTACACCATCAAAATTTCTATGGATGAGAAACTGGCAGCTCCCACTTAGTGGCAAAAGAGTTCTTAGGTGACAGTAATAAATTAAGAGAGAAACACAGTTTCCATCCAGAAGGCAGATTATTAACTTCCTAAAGGGCAGACTACTAACAGTACAGGTAATCCTTGATTTACAACAGTTCATTTAGTAACCATTTGAAGTTACAATTGAAAAAAGTGACTTATGACCATTTTTCACACTTAAGACCATTGCAGTATTACCATAGTGATGTGATCAAAATTCAGACGCTTGGCAACTGACTCATATTTATGTCAGTTGCAGTGTCCTGGGTCAACCTTTTGCAATTTTCTGACAAGCAAAGTGAATGCGGAAACCAGATTTACTTAACAATTGTGCTAATAACTTAGTAACTATGGCAAGGGAAGTCGTAAAATGGGACAACATTCACTTAACAACTGTCTTGTTTAGCAACAGAAATTTTGGGCTCAATTGTGGTCTTAAGTCAAAGACTACCTGTATTCATAGGCAAGATTTTCAATCCCTTAGGAAGTGAGATAATTGAAGATAGAGTTATCCTGACCCTAAATTAAGAGCAATAGTGGAACACTCAAAAGCTATTTTTCCACTATCAAAATCACCTTAAGACAGGTGACAATATTGCAACTAAGTATATTGTAGCTAGTTGCTTTTCTTGAACTCCATCTCTCTTTATAGTACAGTATTCATGCTTTCAACATATCACAAAACTTGTTCCAAACATAAAACTCAAAGTTGCCCAAAGTTTTCAGACGATAAAGAAGCAAGATTTCTCTTGACAACAGTTTATATCTGGAAACCTATACATTTAATATTTAACAATACAGAGATCATTTCATCACTAGCAGAAATAACCCTGTCAACTATTTTTGCAAAGCAGTTCATAGAAGATTGTATCTCATCTTATGTGTCCTTAATGGCAGATAATACCTGAAAGATCAAAGCCATTGCATACATTGTTTAAAAAAGGAACTAGTTTGCCACTATATTAACAATGTTACTTTGGCTGGTTTAAATATAGACATTGGCATATGTATTCAGATGGTGGTGTAGAAAAGCCAAGTTGTATTGCAGGAGTGTAGTATTGTAAGGGTGGGAGAGATACACAACCTTCCAATTCTTCTGACCCAAGTTACAGTGAAAAGTCCTTGGTGCTCTCTGATTGTTTTCTTGGAGATGTTTCATAATTCAAAATAGGTAATATCAGTGCTTGTGATAGTGATTACCTAGTTTGGGTAATGAAATGTCTGCAAGAAAACAACCAAGCTTAGAGAGCACCAAAAACCTCTCCTTTCAACCTGAGCTATTCTCCTTTATTGGTACCAAGTTATTGTTGCTTCTTGAATTATTGCTTAATGTGAGAGGAAGGGAACCATTTGCTGGTAAGAAAGTCTCTACCCTTGATTATTTAGAGGCTTTCAATGGGCTCAACTGAGATAGTTTCTTCTCATTTTCAGGTAATGAGGAGGCTGAAGATGCAGAAACCCCAACTCAATAAACAATTTATTGAGCTGAATAAACAATTCCTTCCCCATTCACTAAAAGCTGGGTATCCTGAATTGTACTCAGATGAATAATTAAAGCAGCTAAACAGTTTAAATAGCTGCTTAAATGTTTAAATTTAGATAGCTATTATAGACTGATTAAGCAGAGGAAAAGAACACCAAGAACCATCCAACCACCTTCTTGAAAAAAACAAAAAGCAATGATAATAGAATAAAACTGTCTCTGGTCAATTGTTGATTATAGTTAGCCCCTAGGAAGTCTAGTTCTCATCACAAATGGTTGAACCTGATGGTTCAGACCCGATTTAGATTTTATGAGTAAGACAACAGTTCCTAAAATCTTGATAAATTTTGCAGCTAATATCCAATGCAGGCTGTTTAATGAAACGTGTGGAATAAAATCAACCAAATGCAGGAATAATGTGGGGAAAATTGTTATCCAACTATATTATACCAATTTCCCTTCTTTTATATGTATCATTAAAACTAAACAATTGGTTTTAAAGGCAATAATAAGAACTAATTGCTTTTAAAACCTTTAATAAAAATTGTATTTAAAAAAAACCTAAACAATTGGTTGCTTATATAAATGTGACTCAGGTGGTCATTTATGAATCCAAACAAATTCTTCTGTGGTACAGTAGCAGAGATGCAGAATTCTAGAACCTGGGATTTTTATCATGAGCTTCTTGTAGGAAATATGTATGTATAAGCAGAGTTTCTACTATTTTCCTCAGTTCTGAAGATCTAGAGCATGGGTGTCAAACTCGTGGCATCACATTGCTGTCACGTGATGTATCGCAATTTTTTTCCCTTTGCAGAGCTGGATTAGGCATGGCCTACGCATGATGCATCTGGTCGATGGGCTGCCAGTTTGCCAACCCTAATCTAGAGGGTAGCCTTCAGTTGAAGTACGTATGTCATCTGTGACCTCCAAAGCAGGAAAATATGTAGACATTAACAAATTCACAAATGAAAGTTAAAGAATCAGTTACAGGTTGGCAATCTGTTTTTTTAGGATTGTGTGTGTGTGATTCACACAAACAGATGAATAGAAGGCTATCTCATTGGGGGTTGGGTAGGCATTTAAGTTTCAGTAAAAACAAAACTGCATTGACAAAAAGCAACATTTTCTCATGACCAGAGATCCATGACCAGAGTATTGGATAAATGTGGGAGGTTCTAAGTACATGGGAGTCTGGTAGATACCAGGAAGAAAACTCAAGAAAGATTGCAGATGTAGCTACTGAGCTAACTGAATGGCCTCTGAAACAGTTTGATTTCAGCAATAACTCAGTTGGCCATTTGGTGCTCCAGCTGTAGACCATGATCCTCTGATCACCATTCTGTTGGATTACTGCAGTAATAACTACTTGGGGCTGCTATTGGAGATGATTCAGAAGGTGCAGCTGGTATAAAATGCAGCAGCTAGGCTGTACATGGGACAGTCCTCCCTACCCCATGGGACTTTGTTTTAATGATCTTGTTTTTCTCTTGTATGTTTTTTATTTGCTATATTGGACTTTTTTGGGGGGAAGGGGAAGCAGTATACCAAGACAGCATGACTTCTAGTATTGCCTTAGGCACAAAGCCAGCTGTATGATCTTGAACCAGTCATTCTCTCTTAAAGGTAAAAGTTCCCACGCTCATGTGTGCTAGTCGTTTTCGGCTCTAGGAGCGGTGCTCATCTCTGGTCCTAAGCCGAAGAGCCAGCGCTGTCCGAAGACATCTCTGTGGTCATGTGGCCAGCATGACTAAATGCCACAGGTGCACAAAGCGCTTTTACCTTCCCATCAAAGTGGTCCCTATTTTTCTAGTTGCATATTTTACGTGCTTTCAAACTGCTAGGTTGGCAGAAGCTGGGACAAGTAACTGGAGCTCACTCCGTTACATGGCGCTAGGAATTCGAACTGCTGAACTGCTGACCTTCTGACTGACAAGCTCAGTGTCTTAGCCAGTGAACCACTGCGTCGAAAGGCGCAATGAACAAACCAGTTCCAGTATAGTCTGAACCTGGGTTCTAGTCCTACCTAAGTCACAAAGTCAACAGGTGATCTTGGGTCAGTCACTTTCTCTCAACTCTAGGAACACACAATGACAAACCAAGGTTTTACTGCTACTGAAATGCCTATCCAACTCCTGATGAGTTAGCCTTCTACTCATCTGTGCATGTGAATCACACAATCCACGATGAAAACTCTGTTACCTACCTTAACTGATTCTTTAAGCATCATTTCTGAATGCATGTATGCTTTCATTCTTTGGATTCAAAGATATTTCAGTGTAGAGCTATCTCTTGATCTTCAGAACTCTAATAAATGAATCCTTATGTTTTGGACCTGAGCTCCATACAACTGGGTGAGCTCCCATTACTTGCCCCAGCTTCTACCCACCTAGCAACTCAATGCAAGTAGATTAATAGGTACCACTTCGGTGGGAAAGTAACAGCATTCCATGCGCGTATAGTCATGCTGGCCACATGACCATGGAAATTGTCTTCAGACAATGCTGGTTCCCTTGGCAAAGAAATGGAGATGAACACCGCACCCTAGAGTCAGACATGACTGGATAGGGAAACCTTTACCTTTTTTTATGTTCTATCATTTTACTTTAAATATTTTAATGACTGAAAATGTATGTTCACTATCTTTAAAGCACAGACTTGTATTATGATATACATAATTGGATACAATTATGTATATTATAATTGTAAATATAATTGTCATATATTCTCCATACTTTAGAATTTGAAACAAAAATATCTTACCTAGGATCTCTATTGTTAGTAATTAATTCAAGATTTAGGGCTGATGTTGAATCAATCATTGCTGTTTGCTCACTTCCATGGAAACGAATCTTAAGTGACTTAGGCGCATAAACTGAATTTTGAATGAATTCAACGTATTTCAGCAAGGCAGCAACAGCTGCGAGACAGTAATACCTAAGAAATGATAATCAAATGAATGAAAATACAATTTAAATAACATATTATATTATCATAGCTTTTAAGATTTAGGGCCACTAATTTTGCTGGGAATAACACTGAAAATATCACATGGATAATTTCTTTTATCTATTTATTAGGTGTATACTTTGGCTTTTCTTCAGGACCTTAAAATAATTATATTCTTTCTACAACTTTTTCTTCACAACCACAACCCTGCATGATAGGTTGATCTGAGAGACTGATTGGTCCAAAGTCACTCATTCAGCTTCCACCACTGAGAGTGAACCTGAACTGCAATCTCTTCAGTGCTTGTCCACATTAATCACTACATAACACTAGCTCTCATATGAGATGGAAGCTTTTTGTAGATTTATTACAAATTTTTTTATTATTGACTTCTGGAAAATAAAAATGTGCTCCATTTTGAAAGACAAAATCTGAAGGAAAGGAAGGTTTCCCCTAAGGTAGGGGTATCAAACTCAAGACCCGGGGTTGGATGCGGCCCACAGGGTGCTTAGATCTGGCCTGCGGGGCTGCCCTGGAAACATTGAAGGACCAGCCTGCACTGCTTCTGCCAGCGAAAACGGAGCTGGCATGTGAGCTGTTTTTGCTGGCAGAGGTTGCAGGAGGCCGTCACAGCTGAAAACAGAGTTCAGGAGCTCGTTTTCGCTGGCAGTACTTGGGCCACCACAGGCGCCCCCGACACGAGTGAGGTCGAGCGACCATGTCCACCCTGGCCATGCCCACCCTGGCCCCCTGAGGTCAAACACAATCCTGATGCAGCCCTCAATGAAATCGAGTTTGATATCCTTGCCCTAACGTTATTACTTAATTAAACAGAGGACTTTCCAGAAATTCTGACTGGAATCTTGATCTGATCAGGATCATGGTGGTACAGTGGTTAGAATGCAGTACTGCAGGCTAACTTACTACTCACTCAAGGTGTTTGATTCTGAAGGGCTCAAGGTTGACTCAGCCTTCCATCCTTCCAAGGTCGGTAAAATGAGGGCCCAGATTGTTGGGGACAATATGCTGACTCTGTAAACCTTAGAGAGGGCTGTAAAGCGCTGGGAAGTGGTATATAAGGCTAAGTGCTATTGCTATCTTCAAAAGCAAATATGACAAAAGACCTAATAAATTTAGCAAGCAAAGTTGTAATGTTTTTCCATTCTACAGTAATCTTACAATTTCCTTGTGAACAATCAGATAATTTTCAAAAAGCATCTGTCACCACAGACATCTTAATAAATAAAATAAATAGTATCAGGCTTTCAGTAACGACAGGTACAAACAATTTGGATAGTATCCAGTTGGAATTTTTCCAATCTAGAAAATTTATGCATACATTAAAGTCTTCAATGAACTGCATATTTTTTCTAAACTGTTGCACTTAAATGTGAAAAGGTCAATTCAAATCCATCTCCAGACATGAATTTCACTGAGTTGGCATAGCAATTCACTCTCATTTGGTGCAATTTATGGTCAGGAATCCTAAATCGTACTCTAAACGTCTTAAAGGGGAGATAAAAGTGAAATAAATACATTTAAGGCAGAAAATTGTGGATATAGTCCAGAATCTTTCTAATGATCTCAACACTCAAGGAAAATAAAAACTTACTCAAAAGAAGACATAAAACTGGAAAAATAAAGATGACATGCATAGTTTATAAAACAGATGATATATACGGTAATATCTATCTTGTTGGAAAATTAATTTTATTTATAAATCATATTTATATGATCACCCATTTCATAGAATAAGGGTTTATTAAGCTAATAATAATTATTTTGCAGAATCAATGTAGGAGATGACCAGGCTGAACCCAAGTGCATCATCTGTTTGGAGTCCTTTTGCACCCAGAAGAGATCCAAGACCCTGAACTTCACTGACTCTTACCTCCAATTTTCCTTGACTGCTAGTACTTCAGATTCCTATTTAGGAATAGCATGGAATAAACTTGAATTCCTTTGAACAACTATGGTCCTGATTTTTTGCACCTGACAATGATATTATCATGCGAACTAAGACACAGTCATGGTGACAGCAAAAGGAAAGGAGAGGAATTCATAAATGAATCATCTGCTAGGAAAATAATTACAAAGTAACAGCTGAATCCAAACTAAACTAAACGGTGAAGATCTGGCTTTTCCAGCAGGCCTGGGGCCGTTGATCTCACTGTTGCAATCTTGCGAGATCCGACCATGAATGGTGTGCATGGGCTTTTAATGTTTTTAAAATGTTTTTAAAATGTTTTTTTAATAATTTTCCTATGTTCTTTGTTGTATTATTTTTTGCTGTAAGCCGCCCAGAGTTCCTTGGGAGTTGCGTGGCATAGAAATTCGATAAATTAAATTAAATTAAATTAAATTAAACTAGGAAATATAGAAGCTTTCATTTGTTGATTATCCAGCATGTTCACTGTATTCTTGCATGTCACATCCCATGTCTTTTCATGGTCCCAAGAGGCCTACAGAAAGGCAACTACTGAAATTTTTATTCATGTTCCTTGGATCCATTTCAGTATAAAATACAACTTGGGTCAAAGTCAATACCCATGATGTTATATTTAAAAATACTTATTGAGTCAAATAGAAGGCAAAGACTTATAGGTAGTGTTCTCAGGTTACTAACTGAAAAATGATCAACAGTAAACTAAAGTGAATGTATTATTTTTAGAACATACATACTTGGACTGAACTTCCATTAAAACAGTGCTGAATTCTGGTGTACATAATTGTTCAATGTATTCCAAACCTTTGGTTTCATTAAAATATTTTCTCTGGACTGTGGTAAAAGTCACATTCTGAAAAGGAAGCAAAGGCGTCCTTACAAAAAACAGTTGTAATGTATTACCAATATTTAAAAGTAATAAAAACTAAGTTATTTAGGTTCAAATACTGATAAAAGGCAAAATAGGAATTTGCTATCGGATTGATTCAGATGTACATATTACCTTTGCTGATTTATAGTGATTGTCTATATTTGTGCAGCTCATAGGTGACAATTCTGGCATGCATATACAATTACATTTCTTTTAAAGAGAAATTATTATTGTACAAACACGATTAAGTTGAGGCAGAGCACATGATTATCTTGCCTGGGCATAGGAAAAGACAAGAACAATTCCCCATCTTGCTTTCTGCTTCAGTGCTACTCTTGCTTACAGTTCCCAAGAAACTCATGATAGTTTGCTAGTTCTTTGCAGGACTCACACTGTTGACACTGCCCTGACCCATGACTTTCAAATCTGAGGCTTTTTATATTTATACTATACAAGATCTGTACAAACAGTCTTATTTGCTTAGTGACTGTTTGAAGTTACAATAGAACTTCCCAGGGCTACTTACGACTAGGTTTCAAAGTTCCTCCACCCTGCAGTAAAACGTTAATATTTTGGGATTTGGCAACTTGTCTACATTTACGGCCATTTGCAGCATCCTGCAGTCATAACCACGATTTGTGACATATTTTTTTTGCCAGAAACTGGTGTTTACTTCTGGTTTCCAGCAAAAAACCCCACCCCACCCATTGCAGACAATGGATTCCTTAAAGATTGCTGCATTCACTTAACAATCACAGTGTTTGATTAATGCACACAGTGATTCACTTAACAGCCACTGGAAAAAAAAGGTTGTCAAATTGGACGTGCCCATATGGTGACCTGCTTAACAACTACTACAACTTACAGTTATAGTTGTAAACCGAGGAACACCTGGACCAGAATGTGTGGGATTATTAAAGGGGGAAGAAATTGAATTGCTAGTCAGATAGCAATACAATAGCACTTAGATTTATATACTGCTTTACAGTGCTTTCCAACCCTTTCTAAGTGGTTTTACAGAGTCAGCATATTGCCCCCAACAATCTGGATCCTCATTTTACCAACCTCGGAAGGATGGAAGGCTGAGTCAACCTTGAGTTTAGTGTGATTTGATCTGCCAAACTGCTGGCAGCCGGTAATCAGCAGAAGTAGCTTGCAGTACTCTTCCCTCCTTGGAAGAGCTTTATAGCTCCCGCTGCCTTAAGAAAATTCAAAACATTCTTAAAGATCCATCTCATTCTGGGCACCCTTTTTTTGAACTATTACCATCTGGCAGATGATAAAAGTCAATAAAAACAAGGACAAATAGGCTGAAAAACAGCTTCTATCCCAGGGCAATAACCATATTGAATTCTACGGTATAGTGCAATATTGGGTTTTCAATTTCAATGATATAGAATGTAAAGGATGTATGTTTGTGTTTTTATTTTTATAGTTATAATGTACACTGAAGATGGCATTTAATTTCGTAGTACCATGTGCAATGACAATAAAGTAAACTATACTATACTACACTCTAACCACTGCGCCACCATGGCTCTCGGTTAAGATAAAGACTAAGATATGCATTATGCAGATTGGAAAGAATAGGGAAATTTTGAAGAAATAATAGAGAGAGGAGAGACACTAGGACACTGTGACTTGGCCATTGCTGGAAAAATAGAGCACTATTTGATATCCTTTCTTTTCATTTTATAATGTAAATCAAAAAAGGAAAGGAAAGTGACCTATGAAATTAAAATTGTTCTTCAGTGCCAGGTCATATGCTTGTGAAACATTTATTATCTAGAATATAATCCCAAATAAAAGCATTGATCTGGCATATCATAGATAAATGACTAAGAGAAAAAGGTACTTCATCTTTATTACATCTAGCCCAGGGATCCTCAAACTATGGCCCACGGGCTGGAAACGGACTGCTGAAGCCATTAATCCAGCCCGCATGGGACCATGAGGCTGCCCCAACCACATCGCCCCACCTACCCGCCAGTCCCCACCCTTCTGGAAGCCGAGTCCAAAAACGGGATGTGCAAAAACAGCCCCGTTTTTGGCCCCCCAGCCTCCAGAGAAAGAGAGAGGGAGACAGACAGACAGACAGACACACATACACACACACACACAGAGATCCCTCATCCCCCCCCCCAAAGGCAGCCACATCCCTTCACTAACCTGCTTTCCACCCGCAGGAGCATAACAAATTAAAGTTTAATTTGTGTGTATTGTTTAATGGATTGCTAAATTGGCCATGCCCACCCAATCACATGACCACCTAGTCACACTCACCCAGCTGGTCCGGCCTCCCAACAGTCTGAGGGACCATGAATTAGCCCCATGTTTAAAAAGTTTGAGGACTCCTGATCTAACCATTTAATTATAATTTTATTTCTATTCACACAGAGTCAATTATGGCCCTTAGGGGTCATAAGATTATCAGTCTTGTCTTTCTAAATCAGAGAAAGGATTTCAACCATAGAAAACTAGATGCAACTTCAGATGCATCCAAACTAATGTAGAACTGCTATCCTTGAGATACATTTATTTATATCTTTTTACATGGTGTGATGAAACGATAAATGAATAGTGAATTTCTACTTTCTGCCTTCCAGCCGGAATGCCTCCAGATCTGGATATAATCAAAGGCTCTATAAAATTGGGAAATAACTACAGTATAATGTTTAAAAATAAACTAGTAAGGAGTTTTAAACATACCTTGAAATTTTCGGCTATCAAAGTGTACAGTTTTGTTGCATTTCCTGAATCACAGGCAGTATTTGACATTATTATTTCTAAGGGTGTTAAAATTCTGAGTTTGGTGATAACCTAGAAAATGTACAAGACAGTTTAGTTAAAAAGGTCTGTTTGAATAATGTTCAGAACACATAGCTTTCTTTAAAAAGAAATATTGTATTTACTCATATGATGTCAGTAAAATAAACACATTTATGCATCTAGACTTAGATACTAGAGGCAATATATACAGGAAAGACTGAGAGTTTATTACATATATATAGACTCTGTTTTTTTTATGTAGTAGATGGGAACATCCAGTCAAATTTGGCCAATCACCAAATGCTAAGCAGGCGTTAACAATTATTTTGGAAGAAAGCAAAGGCAAACATTTCCATGTGATGAAAACTAGAGTTCTACTAAAGCTGTTCATAAAATATGGTTGTTATGCTTCCATTGAATATAACCCTATATCAATTTTTCAGCATTCTCTGTCAGGCAGTACTGCAGTAAATATGCTTTCCGTAAATTTCCCTTATTTCTGACACAAATAACAAAAAAAGAAGTCTGGTCCAATCCATCAGTTGGGGAAGAAACTTCTTTTGCTCTGGACTGTAGATTTCAAGCAGTGGAAGATCTCAACCCTTCATGCCAGAATGCCGTTACTACTGCCTATCTCTCCAGACTTTCTAGAGGCTACACTCTCTTTCAATACCCAATGGACTCTGGTTTCGTTCATTGTTGGCCTCAACCCTGATAAGTTTCCATAGTGCTTAAAACCCCAAATGTTCTTTCTTTCTTTCTTTCATTATTGGTTCATAGACTATTCCAATAGCAATGAGTAACATACATCTCACCTTCCATTAATGAGTTTTAATGAATCCCATTAAAGCAATGCAATTAAAAAACCATTTAATTGATATCATAACCAACATATATAACATTAATCATGTAGTTACCATTTTCTTTAACTAAAATAAATCTTTCACGGCCAGACATAAGTTCACAGTATTCAGGCTTTCAAAGCCTGGGATAATTGGGAAGAAGCTGTTATATAGAAAGGATACAGCAATTGGGGAGAATAATTTTGTGGTCTCTGTAAATGGTCTTTCCTGAACAAAGGAATATGTAGGGAGCCCTTTCTACCAGATCTTGTTGGATGAGCAGGTGCTATTGAACCACTATTTTCTATGACTGTGATCTATTGTTATTGCTACCTGTAAACCGTTATATATAACAATATGTTTATTTGGATTTGGCACTTACAGTTTTATAATGATTTTGCAATCAACCAAGTTCAATTCCAATGTCAATAAAAAGCAATCAGAAAAATTTAGAATCCTAATGCAATTGGCCAGAACAATGGCTATACATAATTCTGCTGATTCAGTGCAAGTATCTTAGCTGTTTATATCACGAAGAAGATTATAGTATTCAGATTTTACCTTGGTATATGTTGTATTATCAGCAAACTGGGATAGTACTACTTCTGGATTTTTTAGGTCAATACTTGCCATTCCCACTTCACCTCTAGCAAATCCTCTCCCTTCTATTACAGCCACGATAACCGATGCAATACTGTGAATGGAGACTGCTGAAGATGATGTAACTGTGAAAGATACATTTAGAGTACTGACTGAGCCAAGACCTGCTGTGAAAATGTCTTACAAAAGTCAATAAAGGAGAATATTGTAGTTTAGATCTGAAATGAGGGAACTTTGATGCTCTCTGAGCTTGGCTGTTTTCTTGCAGACATTTCTTTACCCAAACTAGGTAATATCATCAGTACTAGCATCATCTAGTACCACTTACCACTGATGATATTACAAGTTTGGGTAATGAAATATCTGCAAGAAAACAACCAAGCTCAGAGAGCACCAAGGACCAAGGAGTGGCAGTTGGTGATTGTCACTGGTATTTAAAATAATTGTCCTAGAAACACCAGATCTCTTTAAAATTTGGCATACTTGGCAAAAAATACCAGTAGGCAAATGCAATTTGCCTACCGAGCATAGATCGGCAGTTGATGCTGTTAATATGAGTCTGCACTACATCCTACAACATTTTGAATCTCCAAAGACCTATGCAAGGGTCCTCTTTGTAGACTTCAGCTCAGCATTCAATACCATAATTCCAGATATTCTTCTAACTAAACTAAATCAGTTAGCTGTACTTGACCACACTTGTAAATGGATCATAAGCTTCCTAACACAGGAAGCAGCAGGTGAAGCTAGGCAAAATCACATCAGATACCTGTTCAATTAGCACAGGAGCCCCCCAAGGCTGTGTGCTCTCTGCACTTCTCTTCTCTCTATTTACCAATGACTGCATCTCAAAAGATCCCTCTGTTAAAATACTGAAGTTTGCAGATGATGCAACAGTGATTAGTCTCATTCGAGACAACGATGAATCTGCATACAGACGGGAGGTTGAACAACTAGCCTTGTGGTGCAACTTCTACCCTCCAAATGATGCTATATGGCTCTGCACACTAGAACAAGACACAAGGACAGTTTTTTCCCGAATGCCATCACTCTGCTAACCAACTAATTCCCACAACAGTCAAATTAACTACTAAGATTGTATTACTATTTTTCTTCTCATCCTTACTAGTACTTATCTCTTCCCACTGATGGCTATATCCATGTTGCTTGTATCTTTACAACTTATATTGCTTTTATTGTTTCCTAATATGATTTGATTACTTATTAGTATCCTATGACTATCATTAAGTGTTGTATCTTGTGATTCTTGACAAATATATTTTATTTTTTCTTTATATACACTGAGAGCATATGCACCAAGGACAAATTCCTTGTGTGTCCAATCACGCTTGGCCAATGAAGAATTCTATTCTATTCAAAAAAATCAATGTATTAAATTGTAATTTGATTTTAAAAAACCAACTATATTTTTCAGCAATTGAACAAACAAACAATTAGGAAACAACTGAATATGAATTCTGATTTTCCTTGAAAGATTATATTATTAAATTTACATTTAATACTTAAACTTTAAATTTATACTTGTGGGGGGCTTTTTCCTCTCGCTGGAAGAATGCAGTCTTTACATCTGGAACATGCTTGTCTTCTCATTGTTTCATCACACTATTATCAATTTATGGAAAACAAACATATCCCCAAAATGTAATTATATTCTGTGTATGGTTGCTTTCTGAAACTGTGCAGAATTAGAGTATGTTTTTCAAATAACACACATCTTCACTTATTTTTCTAGTCTTTAAACATTGTTCTTTATATTGAGCTATTAACTTCCTGTCAATTCCTTTCACAGTCTTTGCTAGGTCAGTGTTTGGGTCTTGCAATTTAATTGTGTGTTTATGTTGCTACAGTCGTTAGAACAGAAGTTTTTTTTTAAAAAAAATCATTTGAGATATTTTCTTGAGGTTTTTTTCTTTCAAGTTGGATTTAAATGTAAACATTTCCATTTGCTTAAAATACCATTATCACAGGTTTCAGAACATCTTTTGTGTAATTATAATTGTTTTATAACTCAGACTATCTCTAACATGAAAATGAATGTTAGTAAAATATGTTCAATTCACACCTATTCATTTTGCACATAATACATATAATTACCTAGCTGTGCCTAAAGGGAGGGACTAAATGGAAGCAAACTGGATTGTTCTGCAGTCTTGGCTAATTAAATATTATCTTCATGGAAATGTTCCATCCCAGAATCAGAGGGAAAAAAAGACAGCATCCCACTCCTTTATTGAAATCCATTGCTTATTGATGTACCTTGCAAAGAGGTTAGCAAATGGAACTGTAGAAATTTATTCACTTACTTAATGCATTAACCTGTTACTTCTTATACTGAACCACCTTGATATAGCAATAAAAGCACCTCACAAATCTCACACAGCAAGCCTTTGAGAGTTCCGGTACTACTTTTCAAGGCAGACATCAATAATCCCTTTACCATTCTGAAGAAATCTAGTGAATGACTATTTGAGGAGGTATGGATGCTACAAAGTAAGGCTTTAGCAAGCTCTTCCACTAAACAGCAAATGTGATTATTTTTATTATTATTATTAAATTATTAAACTTCTATATCACCCATCTCACTGAGGCGACTCTAGGCAGATTACAGTCACAAAATTAAACTACAATATAAAACTTTAAAACAATCAATAAAAATTATCTATTTAAAATTCAGTTATATGTTTTAAGGTATGTCCAATAAACATTCTGGAAGTTTGACACCATTTTGACTCTAACTGCCTCCTGGGTTGTTCCCTGCATCGAGATCCTAAAGAATCAGGTTTAGGGTAGTCTCTCTGACATCTATAATTTAAGGTAATCATGCTGACATTTAAATAAAAATCACAAAGAGATCATCCTGTAACTATCTTGGAAGCCTAACCTTATTAATTTCTTATTTTGTCTTCCTTAATGGATTATATCTTCCTTGATAGATTTGGGGAAAATTCTGGAAGTAATATATGATATGTCAACAAAATCTCTGTAAAAGTATTCATGGTATGCCTATTTGCAAGACTAAATGTGGGCTGGCTGACATAAGTATTAAGCAAGGCTAAACTGTAATCAATCTGGAATATTTTAAGTTGTATTCCTGTACTGAACAGGAATTGGACTTGATAATCTAAATAACACCTTCCCATATCTATAATTCTATATAGGTATTTGTTGAATCTGAACATAGAACTTGTATAAATTATATTTGGAATAGCATAAACATTTAAAAAAAACAATCATGTAATATTTTCATGATTATGTACCTGAGAAGTCTCTAACATTTTAGTTCAGAAACACTGACTGGAATCCCAACGTAAGATATTTTATTTCATTTTTTTTCTCCTCTCCTGCAGGTGCTATTCAATTATAGTTCTTTTATACCATAACTAACATCATATTTCTATCTCTTTCAATAAAAATAATTTTAAAATTCTAGTGCAATTTTATACTGCCCTCTGCTGTCCAGTTAAACAACTACATAAAAGAAGAAAAATACAACAATCATCAAAAACATCAAATGCCATACAAATTATTAATATATTTAGGTTCCTGTAAATTATCTCTAGGATGTTGAACATATGCTTGCTAGTTGTTTGAAATAACAGGAAATAATGAGTTTTTTCCTATTATTTAAAAATGTACTTTTAAACAGGAATTTGTAAACTCCATAGGTATTATTTCATAATTGCTTGTCGTAACATCATCCTTCTCCATGCTACTGACATTGCTATGTTGGCTGAACATACTGAAAATTGCAGTTCACACATCTGAAGGGCAGAAGTTCAGGTAAGCTGTTTTATTTAGCACGGTCAGTTTAGAAGCTTTTCTCTGTATTTTTGTCCATTTGAAGTGGCAAGCGTACGTCAAGTGGTTATTTCAAAAAGTAATTTGACAACTGACTGGACCACAATTCAATGCTTCTTAAAATTAAGGAAACTTCTGGGAAAAATAGAGAACTAAATTCTTCAATCCTAGGTGAGATCCTTCAATCTATTAGGTGGCTGTAATAACTAGTCCAAACTGTTCTTGTTAGAACAGTTTGGACCAGTTATTACAGCAAGACCAATTACTACAGCTACCTAGTAATTATATAACAATCAGTGAATTATAGTTCAGCATATTTGAGAGGCACCAGATTGTTCAGCAACTGTTTGGGAACACTGATATTATCAATGTTAAACTGAATGCCCATTCAGTTTAATTTAAGCTGGGACCTTTATTTATGGGTGCAGCTAGGCTGAAATGGGTTCTTGGTGAAGAAAGCAAAATGAGATCATCATACTGTGCAGTCTAAACCACAGAGTGGTGAACAAATATACAGAATGCAATCATAAACAGTACAAAGCTCAGCAGTAAACCAAACTCAATTGGTTTTAAAACATTTTTTAAATGCAGACTTGAGACTCAGCGTGCGCCGAGTACAATAATAGTAAATAAAACATCATGTCAGTATGTCAAGCCAAATCTTGATAAATTAGAAACAGCAACAGTGAGAGGCTGCCTTCTATGCAGGCAAGGCAATGGTATACCATTCTCCTTCCTTTTCTTCTGCTTATCTGGTTTGCTTGTCAGAGCATCCACACTGCATATGAATGTTGTGTGGTCTCGGATACAGCACAAACCATATGAGTCAGTAATCAGGGCCCAGCAACATTATCCTTGTTGTTTGCAAGTAGGGAGTGTAGGGTTACTCAAAAGTTTTTCTGCTATGTCTTTTACTCTGCAAACATAGTAGTGACTATCTTCAGTGTCCCACTTTCTGGCATGCTCATTCTCAGTTGACAGCACCAACCAGCTTATTCTTATTTTTGTGGTATGTTCCATTGCATTGTTTTCTACAGTTTTAAGTTTAAAGAATTACTTAACTGCACTTGCCATTATAAAAGGTATGTTGTTGTTTTTTTAAAAATCAGGGCAAACTTCAATAATATTTGATGACCGAGTATGGTGTTCTATCCAAAGACATTCTACCATTTCTTTTATTTATGATTTTTAAAGCAGTATCAAATGAGAGCAATTTTCATGGAAGTGTATCCAATGTCATGACTGTATTTCTTAAGTTCTCCAGATGTATAAATACAAGAAAGTGACATCAGTTGCTGATATCATG